GGGTTTGAACTGCCAGCCTTCTGGTTAGCAGTCAAGTGCCTTAGGCATTAGGCTACCAGAGCTCCCCAATAAATGGTAGTTAATGAGAATAAGAAAAATAAGGAAGGTGAAAATACTGCCATAAATTACATAGATGTTGCTTCAGATTCCAATCTCGTTTTCTTTAGATTCCAATCTAGTTTTCTTCTCTGAGGTAATGTATAGTCTAAAGTAGCATTTGAAATGTTCATGGGTTAGGGATACTAAAAATAGGTCATTAGTAATAACAAAGTGGTACTTTATCTAGTTGTATTTACAACTTTTGTCAACGTTTGTTACTCAGTTCTCGAAAAGCCTCCCTCTTGATAGATCAACATTCTTTTTGTGCCTAGTACTGTTAGGCAATGTAGTCAGCTCCTTTGTAGAACAAGTTTGGAACTTGCTTTGGGCCATTCAGCTGATGGTCGGTCTAGGCATAATTGTGAGTGCCTAGTTTTATTTCAAGCTTAAAAATTCAGTTCCTAACCGTCATTGACACAGGAAGTTTTATCTTCAAGAGCTGTCAGCTCCTCAGAGATAGGAACTCTGCCCTGTTCATCTTTGAATTCCCAATGCCAGGCATGTAGTCAATGAATGAATGAATGAGTGTATTTCTCCCCCCCCCATTTCTTTCCTCCCATTTCCTCCTGGCATGGTCATTCAATTAAACCTTTAGTGTTGTACTGTGGGAAAGGAGAATTTTATATTATTCACTCTGAATTTAAAAGCAAATTAAATTAAATATACAAACAAAAAACATAAAGTGAGTGCAATGTCTTTATCGTCTTACCAGGCAAAAGAAAATTGCTTTTACCTACATGTACCACTTGATTTATTTTTGTTCATCCTTGCAATAATTAGCCTTTGATAGAAAGGTTTCTTATTGCTCTTCTAGATGGTTTCACTTTGCTTTCCATATTTCTTTCTCCTTTTCAAATCTTCCTGTTTTTGAAATCTAAATAATTGACATATAGGCATTAGAAATCCATACAATTATCTTAAGGAAATTAGAAGAGTTTGTTGTTGTTGTTGTTAATTTTTAGTTACTAAACTGTCCTAATTCCTAAAAAAGGGAATTAGGACAGTTTAGTAACTAAAAATTATTTTACTTACATAGAGAAAACTGTGTGTAGCTTTACGAAGTGTATTTGAATCATAATATACATGGGAAGGAGTAGCTT